GAGGATATATATATGTATATATATGGATGGCAAGTTACCCTTTGTTCCATAGCACTTCACCAGCTCTGCCCCCCCCTCCTCTTCCGTGACCCACCCGGTTTCCATCTTATCAACAGGTCTCCCAACCCAGCAGTTTGCTCGTTTGAAGTAGCCGTTTTTTGTTTGTGTGTGTGTGTGTGTGTGTGTATGACAGGACATGTGTTAATCGATCTGGCGAAGACTGAGGCGGTGCATGAACTTAAACAGATGGCGAAAATCTCATCAGACGAACGACACATATCTACGGTGAGGACTAAGTTGAGTGTGGTTGGTGTAGTATAGGTGGGGCTGTTTTAAGAACAAGATGGCGAGCGAGTGAGTGAAAGAGGAGGCGGACAGATTGAACGAAACGGAACGGAGGACAGTTGAATGTTGACTGTACATGAGAGGACAGAAACAACGATGCCAGTTCATGTGAAACATCCCTTCTGATCATCATTAACATCATCACGCCTGGGGGAAACATTATGGGTGGAGTTGGGTCGTGAAGTGAGGGACAAATGTGTGCGAGGGCAAACTTGTACATCGTCGTTCTTTGTGAACGTGTGAATACGGACAGGTGACCTCAATTCGGTTTGGATCAGGTCGGAAAAAAAGAACACTCTGAAGCGTTTGTTGTTGTCAGCTGTTCTGTTTCCGAACGGTTCGTGTGTGCACGTGTTTCTATCAAACACTAAATGATGATCTTATTCTTGCGCGATTATGTGCTCCCCATTTGGTCAATCAAATAGTTACCGAATAAACTTAACAGAGAGCAGTGAAGTTGTTTTGTTACGGCCCGACACAACGGTAACGTGTTCATCAACGTGTGTATACACATTCACGGTCATGAGTGCGATTTTATAATCCAGGTCGAAAGACACCGAGCATTTCCAGATGTCAGTTATTTCGGAGTGTGCTTTTCAAAAAGACATTCCCGATGGCTCACGATAATTCGTCATTGAACTAAAAATACAAAAAAAAAAAACGATCGAACAAACCGTTCATCCCACTTATCCTGACTCATTTTTTTATGACCATCTCGATGTCGTGCTGTGGGATAAACTGCATCGTTAACAGAACGGCCCAAGTCAACAAATAGTCCCACATGTGCACTTTTTTTCTCGCTGTGCACTCCTCTGCTCTCCGTCGCCTCCAGCCGACCCCCCCCCCGCACCCCCACCCCAGTTGTCTGATGGGTGGGTGTGTTCATGAGGCACAGAAGCTCACAGCAATAGGCCATACAGAGTGTGTATGTGAGTCAGCTGGTCCAGCACCGGAACGGAACATTCCTTCCAGTCATTTGGGAATGGAAACAGTGTTGCGTTGTGTTCCGGAACAAGCAAAGAGAGAGAGAGAGGATAAGGAGTTTGTGTGTGTGTGTGTGTGTGTCGGAGGGTGGGGGTTCAAGCGAGATGACTAAATGGATGAGTAAGGGATGCAAGGGCCTAGGAAATTACTGGAAGAGACTTTTCGGGAGCTTCCCACTTTATGATTTGACTCAGATGCTTGCGCATATATAAGATACTTCATTGACATCGCCGTCACTCCTAACTTGCCTATCTGAAACAGTCATTGTATTATTCACATGAAGCGGGGGGAGGAGTGTATGTGTGTGCGTGCGTGCGTGTGGATGCCTCTCATTCCCGCCCCTCACTTCAGCTCACTGTTTCCGAATACAAAGTTACAAACACCTTAGATGCGAATTTGCTGTGGCAACGAGGCGAGGTGCTGAGGGGAGGGGATAGACATGTACAGAATTGTTAACTGTTGGCCTTGTTTTGTACACACACACACATATATATATATATAGAAAACTTTCGGGGTCTTTATCAGTCCCACCGCCCCTGACACAGCTTCGCACTTTTTGAAGCAGTGGGACTGGACGCAACTCCCCCCGCCCGCCCGATATTTGTTGAGCGCGTTTGTATACGCACAACCACACATGGTCATGTTTATCTTCGCCAGATCGCTCGAATTTGTCCCGGATGACTTGGTTGTCGGATAACAACGTTTCGTGGCAATAAAACGCATGTGTGCATGCTCACATGCATTCCCCAAATGTATGCCCCGTGGTGTGGGTGTGTGGGTGTGTGGGTGCGCGTGCGTATCACCTGTCTGAGAATGCGTGTTCTCTTGTCTCCCTGATTCCCTTTCTCCCGTTCGAATAAATGTAGCACCACCCCACCCCCTCAAATTTTCCCTTTAAGGTTGTCTGGTCACGGCATGTCAGTGGTTTCAAGTGTCTGCATACGAAGAAAGAACTTTCACAACGGAGCAGTTGGTGTGCTCAGTGATATTATTAGTGGTAAGAATAGTAGTAGTAGTAGTAGTAGTAGTAGTAGTAGTGCAAGGTGGTGGCGGTGGTGGTGATGGTCGTGATGAGG